AAAAAAGCCGCTAAAAGGGTCTGAAAGTTGCTAAATCTAGTGCTAAAGTCGCGCTCGTGTGTGTGAGACACGGGAGCTGATGGCAGGGGGCGGTGGATATTTGTGGCGGTCAGTGTGGATATTGTGGATGAGTTCTTCTGTGTCATCACGTTCTATTAGTTCTACAGCTTCAGTTTCGGAACTTTCACGCTTAGTAACACATACAGCTGCTCCCTCACTACAGTGCAACAGTGAAAAGAGACCCCTTTCAAACAGTCGCGTTCCGAACGTTGTTTAAGCAACATACACCGGTATTGCGGTATTTTAAAAATCCATATCATAACAAAAATAAACACCGGTATTCGGTATGAACCGGTATACCGCCCAGCACTAGGCATACCAACACAATATTTGTAATATAGTCAATAAAAGAATTACCGGTCGTCAAGGGTCTGGACTCTGGAGCATTTTGTAAGGCACTGAATAAGCAGCACCACATCAGTCTTCATAAAGACTGATATTTAGTTCACACAAACTCAGCGTTTCAGGGCTTGCAGTTTGACCTCAAGTTGACAGCATGGCAGTGTTTGAGACGACACCCCTCCCAACTGCTGTCAGTCTGTCACAAGACTCTTCCAGAAAAAGACATCCACTATGGCGCACAGTTTTATTAAAATGAAGAAGCCCTAAGGACCTGGAACAGAACGTGGTAGGACAGACCTAGTTCTTGTTCCACTTAACTTTAATGAAAAGAATCAGCTAGAAGCTTGCTGTTTTCCAAGGTAGGCTATAGGTGATGGCATCTTCTTGCTGGTTTACACTGCAATCTGTGAGTCATCACATTAACAACCAAGTGTAATGAGTTTCTGGTGTATGACTTCGTAACACCAGAACTTCACTACTGAATTTCTAGTGTAACAGACATTTACAACATTGGTGATGATGGTACATCTGGACAATAATACCGTGGATCTCTATAGTATTCACGGTTTTCTTTGAAGTACCATGTAAATATTATATAAATGTTATAATCATTCAATATCACGGTATTGCCATCGGATACCATCACTGTACCACCACAACACCGTATTTGTTATCTGGGCATGAAGCACTTCAGTACTAATCATTGAAAGTGCTGAATGTAGAGTTGCAGTACTGCAGGCTACATTGTATGGATAAGTGCATAATTCAAAGAATAAGTATAAAAATGGATTATAGGCGAGATGAAACGACTTGAAACAGTATCCAGTTCTCTTATTTATCAAACTGTTGATGCAATAATAGCAATGGAAATGTCTGCTTCTTTTAATGACTGTCATGTCTGCATGTATTGTCATACTTAATAGCTCTGGCTTTGACTTTAAATGCCAAACAGCATCACACGAAGCACCAGCACTGTGTTACTCAGCTAAGCATTCATTTTGCAACCACTTTGCATGAAAAAGACTAAGAATAGACACTCAACCTGGCAGATGCACAATAGGAAACCCATAAATCTTCATGCTATGACAGCTTAGCCAACGTTGAATTTGTTGGCCAGTGTTTGCAGGATGCATTTGAAACTAGGATATATGGTGTTTGTTTACAGCGCTGCAAGCGTGTTGTGTTCCTTACCATTTTGCTGCCTGCACGACGGAATTCCCCCTCGGAAATGAACAGCAGTAAATGACAGCACAAAAATAAGAGGAAAATTCTGCTCTTGGTCTTGTTGTTTTGTGAAGAAAAGGCTGGTTTTAACACAGCAGCAGCGTAACCTATTTTCCGTCCGCTTCCGTGGGTTTCACTGCAGCAGTGACGCGAGGAAGAGCCGCAGGGCGCGGAGGGAGGGAGGAGCGGAGGAGGCTCGCTGCTATTGGACGACGCGCGAAAGAGGCGGGGCAAAGAAGCGCTGATGGGCGGTGCTTCGGTACATTACATACGGGAAACCTTTGCTCCACTCCCTCCCTTCACGCTCACTCAAACACAGTGGACTCGCTGGAGTCGGCTCGTTCTTACTGTAGGCCTACTGTTATTTTCATGTCCTTCCCATGGATATATGTCTTAATACGTCTAAAATTAAAACATTCTATGGGAGAACAAAGATTACATGGTTAGTGAATGTATAAATTCTTCCAGTTCCATAAATATCACTTCACACCTGTTAGTCATTTTTGTAATATCCTTGAGAGAAGCTATAATGGCATTATCCTCCAAAAAGTGACATTTTTGGTGGGTAAGTACAGCAGTACGGGAAATATAGATTCTGCTATGTTTTTCTGTATTAGTTTGACTTCAGATATTAACTTAATGTTTAACGTAATAATTGTTAACCATTTTTAGAAAACTGAATATGAAATCATTACTACTGTTTCATTATTCTCTCTATTTTTATAGAACATTATTTTTCCCCTTAAAGTCTGGAGTAACCTTAGTTAAACATACTTTTTAAAATCACCACAAAAAATGTCTGAAATTATATATATATATATATTCAACTATTCGCACTTCAGTGAGATGGACATATATATATATATATATTTGTTATGTTAAAACCTAATCTGATTGAGAGTCCTTAAACCCTTTAAGACGGTTTTAAAGTGGTCTTACCCCACCTTACTTTAAGGTCTTGTCGTGGTCTTAGGGTCTTACCTCATTTAAGATGTTAAGGTCTTGACTTGACTGCTTTGTCATTTACAAAGGCTCTGAAAGTGACTTTGAAGCATTTGCTCGATATATGAACTGTCTTAGGCCTTCCATCAAATTTACATATCATGAGGGTATCACTAATGTTAAATTGTTGCAAAGGGAGGCCTTCTGGATCTCGGAACTCAAGTCTTTATTTCCTCAGGCTTTGAATGAAGAACTAGAATTTTCCTGTTTTATTTTGTAATATTTTTTTTCTGTTTTTCCTATTATATTGTTATATTTGCATTGTTTAAATCTTTCATCTGTAATATTCTGTGCCAGATATGTCAATGACCAGACTCTCTTGGAGCTCACATGTGATAATTGAGGTCTACCTTTGTTAATTGAACTCTGATTGTCCTTAATTGTCAGTCTACTTGAAAAGGGTGAATGTTTGTTATAAAGTGAGCGCTGAAGATAGCAATGTGCTGAAACGTCTGCTTGCTCATGTCCATCTGTTTTTAACTCACATGCACTCTGCACTTTTTTGCATGATGCAATTTATTTAAAAAAAAATCTTTCCAATCTGCATTGGATTCAGTGTGCGGCTAGCTACCTTTTTTTTGTTCAATGTTAAGGTCTTAAAATGTTTTATGAACATGGCAACACCTAATCTTCTTCATATTTCATAAACGCTATGCTGCAGCGCCACCTGCTGGCTGCATGTTGAGATCATTTGAAGAGACAAGTGCTACTTTATCTTGGTAACCCTCTATTATCCGTCATTTCCAGTTGTGGGAAAATCAGAGTTTTTTTTTACAAAAAAAAATAAAAAATAAAAAATAAGGGTATTTCTGCAGTGACACTGGGGTCTGAAAACCTCTGTGTGGTGCTGCATGCATGCCGACATGTGCAAGTCCAAGAATACTCAAAGCACACCACATCCCATTTTTGGTATACTTTATTTTTCTTTTAAAGAGCATTGCCATTTTGAAAAATGGAAAAATATGGAAAAATACACCCAACTTACAATTATTGCACACAGATAACAATGCACCATTACAAAACACTCATAAAAAGACACACTAGAAATATATTAATATAGGTAAAATTTACTGCAAAAATGCTACATTTACTTGGATTAAACAAACTGTATGCTAACAATTCTAACATGAAATCTATATCAAATCTGTAAACTATAAATATAAAAGTGAACTTCATCCTCACTGGGTTCTTCAGAGGTAGACAACTGGAAGGAAAACTGCAAAAGAGACAACACAGGGTAACGTACAACTATTTTGCATTAGACACAATGCCTTGATTTTCCAGCAGCACCAAGACAAATCCAACAAAACTCGCACTTCATCACAAACCGTCACTAACAGGAAAGGCTACATACCTACCCTATCAGGAACCGCTGGTTCCTATTTCAATGAGAACGACAGTGTGTTTAGCTCAGTATATGTTGCTTCATGAGATTGTCTTCTCTCACAGTTAGCCATAGACTCTTTTACAGAAACAGTTCTTTATTGATCCACATGAGGGTGCGCGTGTCGTTGGGTTTACACTCGTACTCGATGCTGTTGAAGCTGTTCCCCCATTGGCAGTGGTCTCTCTTGTTGTAGTTGTAGAACTTGACCTGCCAGACGGTCTCGAAAAGCCCTGCCAGAGTGAACTGTCGAGCACAGAAACGACACATCAGGCGAAACTCTTATTTTTTAGTCACATGGCTGCTATAATATATTCCTCGTTTCAAATCCTAGTGAGCTGCATTGCTGTACTTCCTATTTCTAAGATAAGCTTCAAAGAGAAACCTCATAAACCCATTTGAAAAACCTTCAGCTTGTCAGGTTGTCAGTTCTCACCTGTATGTTGACCTGAACAGGTTGCCTCTCGCCGCTTTTGGTGTGTGTCACTCCCTCAGTGTCATACATCCCAGTGTACACTACAGACTGAGGGTCTTTAGACTGCTGCTCCAGAGGGAAAGTCACTCCGCCAATAGTCATGGATCTGAGGAATGAGACGTGTAGGTGAGACAGGGAGAGACAGTCACACCAACACCAGCTAAACATTGACAGCTTACTTATTGCATTTTTATATTACGATTTAACAAAACCTATTCCACATTCTGAATATCAGTCATTTACTGCGCTTATATATGTGCGCTGATGGAAAGCGTATGCTAAATTATAACAAATACCTCTTCTAAGTGAAACAGAAATTCAGATCGCAATGTCTATTCGAATTGTCAGACATCTTTGCCTAGATATGTGTAGGCCTACATGCAACAAAGAATACTTCATGCATTACAACATGCAGCCAGTCAGACATGGCTGATGCCTTAATCGTCTGGATTTGACTGCCAAAGAAAGCAACCTGTCAGCTCCCTCTGTCAGTGCATGAGATGTAGACACAATCCTGTAGGATAAGCCCCACAATCATGACATCCCATATGTGTCACAACATGCTACACACGGAATTCTGTGTTGCTTTCATTTCATTTCATTTATTTGTACTATAATCAGTTAACCATGACAATACTATGGTATTGTTTTTTTTTTATTGAGTACCAAGTACAATGATATGTATAGCCTACAATAATAATTCAGCATTACTGTCTTGTATAGGCTATGTCAAACTACTCTTGTGCTATAAAATGGTACCACTAGTCATTTGTAATTTTACATCACAAAAACACGTCGTTTATTTATTCCTATAAGCATGAAAAATTATTTCTCAGACATTGAAATGCATCAATGCATCTTATCTCTCAACGCTGATGCAAACCCAGCTTTATTCAAAACAAGAAATTTCAGTTCAAAATGAGACAACCAATAACATATTTTCAATTTCTGAAATTACTATCAAATTCTCAAATTACTATCTACTCACGTCGCCTCAACCGCTCCCGGTTTCACGATCACATCGATCTTATATTTAGTTCCCGTCAATAATTTGATGGTTCGGGTCTGACCGAATCTCGTCCCGTCCGATTTGAAGTAGACTGGTCCGCTATTCGGAGTGGTCTTCAGCGAAACGCCGATTTTAATCAGTTGGGGTATGTCAGCCATGATGCCAAATGATGCGGAGAAGGCAGTCAGGTGCAAGGAAACAGGTCAAGATATTTCAGGCTGAACTAAATCGTTACGCCGTAACGCGTAAAAAAACCACATCGCATAAAGCACGTCCAAAGTCATGTCTGCTGTTCCTGTCCATAATCCCCACACGAAGAGTAATCCGAACAAGCGCGTGTCTGTGCGACCTAATGAGATCAAGAGAGAGGCGGTGGAGCCCACTTCAGAATAACCCGATACAGCATTTGTGTGTTTGGCTTCATCATTCAAATATGCTTATGCCAAAATAAGTGACTTCCAGTACAGCAGGCTTCTGTTGCTCAAGGATATCAAGTGTGACCAGTAAGTCTTTGCAGTGTTGCCACTGAACAATAGGCATCAAAATATTATGGTAGGCTATATTTTGCTTTTTGAGCATGTGCCATGCATCAAATACAATATTTTTTTAACTACCTTTAAGTACCATGTATTGCCCTGCTGAAAAAAAAAATAATAAAAAAAAAATATATATAAAAAATAAAATAAAATACAGACTATACGGATGCTTCACATAATACTGTACATGTGCAAAGAGAAACATCGTAAGTCATATATATATACACATACATACAGGGCCGGACTGGGACACCACTTCAGGCCGGGAAATCTCACACTCATCATACACCCACAACAAATTTTGAAACCACAGAGACAACCCTATTATTTGTATGGCCGTCACATAAAAATGTCTAAATCCTAAGGCTCAGGCCATGCAAAATAATTAAAGTTTCTCTCTTGAACAGCACCTTCACTTCCCTTTTCCGTTTCTTTGTTTTCTTTGATATCGCGTTTTCTCCCTTCTGTTTATGTGTGTACATTTTTTATAAAAAAAATTTTTGGCTATTTTTCTTGTACCTGTCACTTCTTTACCAGCAGGTCTACTTGTTATGCACAGAACAGTCTCCACCTCGTTGCAAAACAGCCACCTCATTGCAATTTGTTTGCACACAGTCTAAATTTTAGTTAAATTCAATGGATTACATTAGGACAATGTGTTATTATTGTTATTTATCTTAAAAATCTATTTAATACCCGAGATTAACAAACCTATATTTCATACAAATATTTTACAATTTTCTAAAGTGCCTAAATGTCAAAATCAGTACAATATGTTTATAGGAAAATAATACTGAACAGCAATACTCATATCTTTTGTGGTGTTGTCTGCTCTAGCTCCCTCCTTTACTATAAATTGATGTGAACATCTGGCTGCTACATTTATTAATGCAACTTTACAATAGATAATAATGATGTCCTTTAACATACAGTATTCTGACTGTGGATAATAATGGGATGCTAATATTTGCTAGCAGTTTAATACTTAACTAAATTAACAAAGACAAAAATACAGTAGCCTATTTACAGATGAAACTGACCTGCGCTTGAAGCCCTGAACAGGTCAGTAATTTTGCTACATTTCGCTGCTGCTTCTTGCCACTTCCTCGAGTCCCGCGCATTATTGATTCCTAAACTCGGAGTCAACCTACTCAGAGTCAATTGAACTAACTCAATTCAGCTGCTCTGAACCCGAAAACTCAGAGTTTCCCATCTCAGGGTAAGTCAACTAAGAGTTCAAGTTTTAACTCAGAGTTTGTTGAACCTCCTTTCTGGAATACACCCCTGTTCTGACCCCGAAAACTCAGAGTTTCCTATCTCAGGGTAAGTCAACTCAGAGTTCAAGTTTTAACTCAGAGTTTGTTGAACCTCCTTTCTGGAATACACCCCTGTTCTGACCCCGAAAACTCAGAGTTTCCTATCTCAGGGTAAGTCAACTCAGAGTTCAAGTTTTAACTCAGAGTTTGTTGAACCTCCTTTCTGGAATACACCCCTGTTCTGACCCCGAAAACTCAGAGTTTCCTATCTCAGGGTAAGTCAACTCAGAGTTCAAGTTTTAACTCAGAGTTTGTTGAACCTCCTTTCTGGAATACACCCCTGTTCTGACCCCGAAAACTCAGAGTTTCCTATCTCAGGGTAAGTCAACTCAGAGTTCAAGTTTTAACTCAGAGTTTGTTGAACCTCCTTTCTGGAATACACCCCTGTTCTGACCCCGAAAACTCAGAGTTTCCTATCTCAGGGTAAGTCAACTCAGAGTTGGTTGAACCTCCCTATTGAAATGGGCCCAAGTAGAGACCCACAGGGACCATTACAGTGTCCATTAAAACCAATACAACTCCCATTATAACCAGTAAAACCATTACAAATTCTGTGATGGTTTCTATTTTTATTTAATTTTTTCAGCATGGTGTAAATGACATGGTAGACTTATATGAACAAGAATCAAAACCATGGTATCAAAATACAAGTCACACCATTACTATGTAAACACCACTGTATTTGATTTGGTAATCACTTATCACAATACAATGCATATTAGTATCATAATACCAAGTACAGTGGTATAACCACCATCTGATATATCACTGTGTCATAACAGTTCCACCTCAGTACTTTTTGTGTTCGTCTTCAGTTTGACTATTTTGTCTGTAATATTTGGGTTAGCTTCCACTTTTGGCAGCATCTGAAGACACTGAAGATGAGGTAATATATAGAAGATAAAAGTGTATTATCTCATGTACCGAGGTACAACTCTCTCACTTCCTTTCAAAACCACGTGTGAAAAACACCTTTCATTTGGTTGATTTAAAAAAAATACATATCATTAAATAATCCAGTAAACAACTGGATAATGTGTTAAATTCTCAAATGGGTGTTACAACATTACTTTTTTATTGTTGATAAACTTCAAACACATCCTAGGCCGGGTCAGTGGCCGCAAACATGCAATGCACTACTCTTCTGAAACACAGCTTCAACTATCTTCATTCAACTTCCTGTGAGTTTTGTTTTTCTAATGTGATTAGTTTGTTGAAGTATTCCCACGAGTGCAGGCTTCAAAATAATAGGTTCAGCAAAGGGCCTCGTTATTAAGACAATACGGTTCTTTGCAGATGTTAAATAGAGGTTGTTAGAAAGGAAAGGCAAAAGAAAATGTCTATTCTAGCAAATAAATAAAATGTTAATATACATTTTCACATTCAAATTAAGACCAGAATGGACATTTTTTTTGTCTTTGTCATTTGTCTTTCATTGACAAGCATAAAATAATCATGGGTGCCCATGGGTTCGTTATCTCTAAACACAAGCGTATCGTTTGCCCTCTGACTCGTTTGTCTGTGGGTTGAAAACACAGAGGAAACTAGCTGACCATGAAGTTGCCTGTCAGGCAGTGCGCAACTTCCCTTTCATCAATATGTGTCTATAACTGTCAACTGAGGTTACACGTCAGACACGAATTTGGCTGAACTGCACGGGTCTTACATTCATTTACATCCTGTAGACTGAGACTCACTGTTTTACTTCATAGCAATGGAACCAACAATAATCAGAGAAGGATACCTAGTGAAGAAGGTAAGACTGGGGTGCTATCTTCCATTTATCTGTGATTCTGTGGCTTTTCTATGATGTGCTTCAGGGTTATGGAGCATTAAGTTTTCTGTAAAATGTGTCAGTGTCAATATCACTGGTGACCTTAAAAGGACATTTTACTGCCAAGTAAAATTAAAGATATTCCAAACAAACTCTTTATTTAAAATCACTGGACTACATGAAAAGAAACGACAAGATGTTTCGGTGTTCATCCAAACACCATCTTCAGTTCAACACTGAACATTTTAACCTGGGTGTTTTAGAAAGTCGTGAATCTGCATAGACAAAATTAAAGATATTTTTTTTTTGTAACTGAGACTTCAGAACGGGTCTTACATTCACCACTCCCTGTAGACTGAGACTCACTGTTTTACTTCATAGCAATGGAACCAACAATAATCAGAGAAGGATACCTAGTGAAGAAGGTAAGACTGGGGTGCTATCTTCCATTTATCTGTGATTCTGTGGCTTTTCTATGATGTGCTTCAGGGTTATGGAGCATTAAGTTTTCTGTAAAATGTGTCAGTGTCAATATCACTGGTGACCTTAAAAGGACATTTTACTGCCAAGTAAAATTAAAGATATTCCAAACAAACTCTTTATTTAAAATCACTGGACTACATGAAAAGAAACGACAAGATGTTTCGGTGTTCATCCAAACACCATCTTCAGTTCAACACTGAACATTTTAACCTGGGTGTTTTAGAAAGTCGTGAATCTGCATAGACAAAATTAAAGATATTTTTTTTTTGTAACTGAGACTTCAGATGAACCCAAAACAGCATTTGGCTAGTTGAGAATATTGGCGATATTTTGCAGTGCTGGCACTGAGCAATTGAGGCTATATTAGCATAAAAGTAACAAGGCAGGCTGTACTATCTTGGTTTTTGAACATGCACCATGACAATACTGTGTATGACAGTACTGATGTCATGTGCTGATGTTTTGTCATGTTTTTCCATGAAGTTGTTCTATTTCGGGAATAGAAGTGGAAACATCCTCCTTCTTTTCCAAAAAGACAGTCATTGCAGCATGTTTAATACCAACCCGATCTCATGAAAGTGCCTTTAAATATTTCGCCAAATAAAAACGAAAACTCGTGGTATTGATACACAAAAATGGACTTTGGCATGTATATGCTACGCGATGGGTAGGTTTAGGGTTGTGGGGTAGATGCGTATCATATGTACGCGAAAACTGCGTATCATATGCACGGCAACAAATTTCGTATCATATGCACGCGAAAACTGCGTATTATATGCATGCCAAACACATGCGTATCATATGCACGCCAAAGTCCATTTTTGCGTATCAATACCACGAGTTTTCGTTTTTATTTGGCGTACTATTTATCCGCATTTTCATTAGACCGGGCTCTTAATACATTTCATTTTGTCCACACATTTTGGATTGAACCCCTAAAAATTGTTTTGGAATAGCATTTCATAATACTCTTGTCTTTGAGAATCAAACAGAAATGATTTGCGCATCTGAAAATATAAGCCAATTCAACCCACAACTGTGTGTGTGAGCTAAAATACAGAAGTGAAAATGGCCTAAATTGAATATTTCCACTTCACTGAAATTCTTTCGCGTATTGAAATTCAAGCAGGGTTGATGTAATCCTTCATATCAAGCAATATGTTTCCTTTAGCTGTTGATTTGTTTGCAGCTCAACACTACTACTGCATTTGTATTCAGTATTTGTGTTGGCCATTTTAGGAAGCTACAGCACTGAACCGTTCTTGTTTTGCAGGGAACTGTGCTCAACTCATGGAAGGTGGTGTGGGTGGTGTTAGCAGATGATGCCATTGAGTTTTACAAGAAGAAGACCGACAACAGTCCGAAGGGAATGATCCCTCTGAAGGGTGCGACTCTCTCCAGCCCGTGCCAGGACTTCACTAAAAGAACGGTGAAGGAATCACGCACCAATATACTGCTGACTTATCTAGAGTTTTTCATGAATATCTTTCATATGCTTTTTTTCTAACAGCTAGTGTTCAAGATCAGCACAGCTAAGAACCAGGACCATTTCTTCCAAGCGACCCACCTTGAGGAGAGGGAGCTCCGAAGGGAATGATCCCTCTGAAGGGTGCGACTCTGACCAGCCCGTGCCAGGACTTCACTAAAAGAACGGTGAAGGAATCACGCATCTTTAATACCAATATACTGCTGACTTATCTAGAGTTTTTCATGAATATCTTTCATATGCTTTTTTTCTAACAGCTAGTGTTCAAGATCAGCACAGCTAAGAACCAGGACCATTTCTTCCAAGCGACCCACCTTGAGGAGAGGGAGCTTTGGGTTAAAGATTTCAAGAGAGCCATCACTTGTTTACAGGGAGGCAAGAAGTTTGCCAGGAAGTCAACGCGTCGATCCATTCGGTTACCGGAAAATGTTAACCTGAGGTATTACACTGTGATTTCAGTAATAAAACTTCGTTTTCAATTACTGAATAAGAGAGAGGCTGCATTCTGCTAGAAACAGATGATAAATAAAGTTTTAAAAACCCTGCTGTGAATTATAAACGTGTCAAAACATTACCTTTGTTTTGTCTGTCTGCAGTGAACTGTATGTTTTAATGAAAGATCAAGACAATGGAGTTAAAGAGCTGAAGGTAGAGAAGGATAAAAGGCTGTTCAATCACTGTTTCACAGGTAAGATATTCATTTGTGACCCTGGACCACAAAACCAGTCATAAGGGTCAATTTCTCGAAATTGAGAGTTATACGTCATCTGAAAGCTGAATGAATGAGCTTTCCATTGATGCATGGTTTGTTAGGATAGGACAATATTTGGCCGAGATACAACTATTTGTAAATCTGGAATCTGACGGTGCAAAAAAATCTAAATATTGAGAAAATCGTCTTTAAAGTTGTCCAAATGAAGTTCTTAGCATATTACTAATCAAAAATTAAGTTTTGATATATTTACAGTAGGAAATTTACAAAATATCTTCATGGAACATGATCTTTACTTATCCTAATGATTTTTGGCATAAAAGAAAAATCGATAATTTTGACCCATACAATGTATTGTTGGCTATTGCTACAAATATACCCCAGCGACTTAAGACTGCTTTTGTGCTCCAGGGTCACATTTCAGCTCCAGTGTTAAAATGAAGAACTAGACCAAACCTGTCTTACTACTACTACTATAAATGAGAAGTAATGCCGTGACCCAGCACCGAGGTGTTTTCCCTAGAGGAACATCTCTATTTAATCTCTTTAATCTCTCTTTCTGTGAGTTTTGTCGACCTGTAAATGTCTTCTGGTGGATCCGCTGGTAGGAAACACAGTGATCGACTGGCTGATTTCTGAGGGGAAGGCCAGAAACAGACCCGAGGGACTGATGCTGGCCACCGGACTGCTGAACGAGGGATTCCTGCTGCCCGCCGGAGACGTGTCCAAAGACGGCGCCCTGGCATCTCTGAAGATTTGTTTGTTTTTCATGTAATATTAAGACAGTTTTGGATCATCTGTGTGTCTCTGTAAGGGTGAGGACGATCCTCTCGGCTCCATTCATCTGCGTGGCTCAGTTGTGACGGCGGTGGAATACGTGCCTGATGGTATGACAACCGGTCCATCTAAATAATACAACTAAACACATTTTACATTTCAAAATGGTAAACCATCTATCAGTAAAATTACATTGTTAATATATATACACTGTATCTATATTACACACATATATTACAAAATACAATAAAAATTAAATAAAACTTTCAAGTGGGTTATCTATATGTTAAAGGTGCACAGTCTGGTTGGTTGAATTGTGAGGAGTGTAGTTTACCTGAAAAGCTTGGTTTATCTATCAATACAGAGGTTTTTTCTTTGTGTAGTTTCTGCTGATTTTTTGTACTTCTGAATGATTTTTGTGTATGGTTTGGTGTTATGGTTCCTGATACTATCTGAGAAAGCAGAGCTTCAGAGGCTTCATTTCGACACCAGCCTTTGCTTTTTCACGTCATCAAACAACACTAGGCTACTAGCTTATCAACAGAGGCGGCAGCCGTGTCTCGACATTAAGTAACAGCATTTCAACATTTTAAAGCACCAAACTACTAAATGCACGTTTAATATGAGACTCGAACTCAAAATGTCATGACCACCTAACGTGTGTAAACTAGGTAACCAGAAAAAAGACTTTCATTGTAAGTAAGTTTGATACTGTAAATATGATTTGAGTTTAACTGAGGGATGAGTTTATTCAGACATGACTAACTCCGTCACACTTACACCTGCTTTAACACCCTTCACTCACAGGATACTGAGTACTGCTACTCAACGCAAAGGTCAAGTGTGAGCGCTAACAGTTTTCAGCAGTTTTCTGAGATAACAGCAAACTTGTGTAGAAACATGTTATCACACCTTCACAGGAGCCCCACCGTATGTATATGCTATTCACATTTGATTAATATATTTTGAAAACTTTTTTTTCATAAACCTGATTACAGTATAATTCATTGCATACAGCTTAAGGTTTTCTTTTTTTCGTTAGGATCAATTCACTAGGACCAATTTTTCAATACTTGGGTCATTTTTTCAAAACTCTTCACAGAGTGAGCACGACAGCATCTATCATTTATCATTGCTTTGGTACAAAATGCATTCAGTTATTACATCTTTCACATTACATAAATTCATTTCTCACTCGGCCACACACATCACCAAAACTGTCTGTACCTACAGGCAAATTTGCACATTTTCTCTATTCAAAACACTTAAACTTGAGATTAAAACCTAACATAACACAAAACTGAGTAAGACAGTGATTTGCTATGCTTCCACGGTAATACCATACTGAAATATATTCTCATTCTAAAAGATGAAATAATTTCAGAACAATTAGATGTAGCTGAACACTTACACAGGTGTTAGTTTTTCAGCTTCACTGCATCTATACAGAAGTGGACAAATGAGGAATAGGAACCTTGCACTGTAATGTAAACATGGTCCATGTAACATTAACTGCAGTGAATTCTAACAGTAGAAAGTGTCACTTCACTATGTGAAGTGTTTTGGTAGTTTTTGTGCATTTTGAATGTGATATTTACTGCTGTTCCAAGCTGAATAGTAGCAATAATATGCACGCAAAAAGTAGCAATAATATACATGCAATGAAGTGGTTGCATTTATGGAGCAAAATAAATAATGTTATAATATTAAGAAGATGAAAAAAATTTACTACATACCTATGTGTACAGTAGGTGTGCATGCAAATACATGTTTACGACACAAGAGGGCAGTACATGTCCAAATAAATAAATAAATAAATAAAAAGAAAAAGAAATACTTAGTTTTGATATATGTGTTATGAACGGTGCAGTGCAGTAAATCTAGATTTTTCTCAAAAGGTGCTGTGTATATAATGTTGTAGTTTACAGATTTAGAATATATTGAGCGAACACTGCTGATCAACTTTTGATAAATTAGAGATTATAAGGTCTGGGTTTAAACTGTGGTTTATACTGGACATTCAGATGTGTGTCTCACTTCAAATAGTTCTGGGCTATTCAGGGAATTACATTTTTTATGTACCTGTATAAAAACATAAATTCAACATGAGGGACAATGCACCAAGTACTTCTGAAATATGAATATACTGTACATTTGTTCAGTTGCAGTGGACAGTGTAGCTCTTTCTCTTTCATTATTTGTGGTCCATTTTTGTAAAGATTGTAGATTTTAAATCATCTGCTTAAAAAAAAAAAAATGACAAAAAAAAAAAATTTCAGAAATTCAGAATGATTTCTGAAGGATCATGTGACACTGAAGACTGGAGTAATGATGCTGAAAATACAGCTTTGATCACAGCAATAAATTACAGTTTAACAGATATTCACATAGGAAAGATGATGATAATAATACCTTTTTTTAATTACTGTTTTTCAAATGAAATCAGACTTTATGAGCATAAGAGACGTCTTTAAAAAATCTTACTGAAACTTTTGAATAGTAGTGTAGAGATGACACATATGGGCACATAAGTTCAGTTTTGATCTCATAGAGTCTTTAATAATTCATGCATCAATTTATTAAGTGCCTATACTGTGACATCAAGAGCATTTTTGAATTGTTGAAGGTCACTCCGGTTAACGTGATGGTGTACAGTAAGAATAAAGACCTGTGAACAACTGGCAATACAATGCATTTAAAACAGTTTTAAATGTACAGGTCTTATTTTTGTATGGCTTGATTTGTTGTTCATCAGTAATGAATGAAGGGATCACAGTTTTCTGATTATAGTACCAGCACTGTAAGCACATACATTAATCTTGGAAGCCAGCCACGGAAAGGAACCAATTAGAAATAAGAAGAAAAGAGCAGTGATAGTACATTGAGTTCTAACTACAGCACCGTCAACATCTAGTAGCTTGTTAAATGCAATAGAAATGTAAAATTAGATGTTGTCATAGGATCACATCAAACAAAATGATGGAAAGGATCAGAGACTGGAGAAAAACAGAACATTAATTTAGAATCTACATGGCATATCAAGCTGAACAAGCTCAGTGTCTGCTGTTCCTGTCAGAATACTAAAGAATTTCTATTGTTATTACTGTTCATTTATTTATTACATGACAAAGCATGAGAAAAATAAAATTACTTTATGCTTTATGATATATATATATATCATAAATTTTACCAATAGCCTTCAGCACAACAGTGATTCTCGGCTGTGTTTGCTGTAGGATTCTAATTGGTTTCCATTCTGATTTAGTTGCCAAACCGACACAGCACTGAAATTATACAAAAGTAAATGTGTTGATGGTTTTTGAGGATGACGGCTATTGGTCTATTTGGTTATACTAAGCACCAGATGGATATGCACCAGAACAACAGAGTTTTATCAAACACGCAGCCATTGACCACAACCAAATAATACATGAAGCATTTTCGGTAACACTTCTTTTCAAGGTCCAATTCTCATTATTAACATCATTATTAACATCTATATAGTATGAACGTGCGTAGTATAAATGTAATCTGGACGTACTGCATTCACCATTTTGCCAATGTCACGTGACCTACCATCGTCAGTTGCGTCGCATCACTGTCATTCATAAATCCCCTCCTGTGGCTTCATGGGATAGTAAAGTGTCCATCGTATCAAAGAGTATAGAAGCCAAGAGGCGAAACTCTGATGCTTTTAAGTCAATATAAGTTCTTTGATTGTATGCACACATCAGAATAAAACCGGAAGTAGTAGGTCATCCGTGTACTTTTTTTTTTTGCTCTTTCATAAGTACTGTAAATTCGGACATACTTTTTTGTCACATACTGTTTTTCACCTACTGTATAGCAGGGAAGAATGCGGTTTCAGATGCAACCCTTGTAAGACGCAGCCAACAGATGCACTGATCAGTGTTATCATCGGAAATCCCCTTAACAGATGAAAGGATAGTATGTCAAAGGAATGGTTCTTGGGTTCTTATGTGAAGTAACTGGTGTTGAGTCTGCGATAGGGTAATCGGGATTCATGCAGGAGTCGAGGAGAACAGGATCGGAAGAGCACTGGAGCATCTGAGGGTAAGTACAGACAGGTTAGTAGCAGAATGTCCTGAACCTGGTAGATGGACGGCTGATCCAGGATTTCTGGAGGAGGAGGTGCTTCCGGCTCGGGGGTTCCTGGTACAGATGGAGAGAATGGTTTAAGGAGGGAAACATGGAAGGTAGGGTGAATGCAGTACCTGGGCGGAAGCTGTAGCAGGTAGGTGACTTCATTGATCTGCCTCTGTATGGGGAACGGACCAATATAGCGGGGACTATGTGGGGGTGTTGGAGCGAAGGGCATCTGCGAAGGTCTTGTGCCTCCGCACAGCGCGCTGGAGGTGGATGTGAGCTGAGTCCCACACGCTCTCGCTCGGAACCAGTAGTCCACAGCTGGAACCTCCGAGGGCTCTCCCGTCCAGGGAAAG